TGGTTTTTCAAGCTTTTTGTCATAAACAGGGTATGCAATTTCACTCAATTTCCAAGTTCTTCCTGAGTTTCCTGCCATATTCAGGGTTTCTACTTTTGTATTGACTGAAACTGGTTACTATGGTCTTCAAAAAGCGATACGCGAGCTGACATGATAATTGAAACAGAAACTCAGTGCAATATTGATTATATCTTTTGTCATAAACAGGGTCTACAAATTTGAATTTTTTTCATCATAAACAGGGTACCCCTTTCAGAATCCCAGCGGAACACCCCTACCCAAATCCCTTGTGGAGTACCCCCCTCCCCCTCTCCCTCCCCCCCCCCCGCCACGCAGGCTATCTCGACATAAACTATGGCAAACGTTACAGACAACGATCTTGTATCGCGATTCACTGAATTCACTCCCAACTAGCCGCCAATATTTCGTGGTATTGTCGTCTAAAAATCGTAATTCGTTTTGGTGCTTAAAGTCTTGAGGAAACTAATCAAAATAAACATTCAGGGTAGATACGATGCCCATTTCATACTAAGATATTGTTATCATCGAAAGTAAAAGTATAGCATATATCCCCACTCCCAATATTTTCCATGGATTCGATTCAAAATGGAATCGTAATCAAATATGAACAAAATGTTTCCTTCTTATCCCTTGATTCAGGGAGTTTTTCTCACGAGTTTTTCTCATGTTTCTCCAGTTTTACGCTTCCGCACTAACCTAACATTTTAAATTCTTATTCCATTTGTGAGTTAGCCGCGCCCCGATTTAGCCGATCAGCCCAGAGATTGTTTCAGGGTTCGATCTGCCTTTCCATCCCACTTAGTCTCACATTAAACCGCCAGAACAAACACGAACAGAACAATCATTTTTGGCATCATTTTTCATTACTTTACAGATACTAGACAAAACAGCTTCCGAATATCACAGATCGCATGATGGCAACTTACGTAAGTTGGAATTTAAGTAAAGCTAAAAATACTTTTAAGTATTATCAGTAAAATGAATCGAATGGTTTTGCACGCATGTAAAAAGACACATTTATCAACTTGTCCAATTAATGGCTGTCATGGCGGACAGGACGGAGTCCAAACTACTAAATGAAGAAACGCAAGGCTTCGGTTTCACGATGGTTTCGWACCAGCAAAAACAGAACACGCACTTTAATTGAGAGAGCTAAGGCATTGGTACATGCTTTTTTTTTAAAGCGTTAAGGGTTAATGTCTTTAGCAACTATTTCTACTGATACAGAAATTCATTGTGTGTCATACCTTAAAACACAGAGTACATTTATAACTTCGACTTAATTAAGGTTTAGTTTTGTAGATGTTGAGGATTACACCAGCATAGGTGGTGGATACCGGGTATCTGGGGGTGCATGTTGAGATAGTTGAGTATGGAATACAGGAATACACCAGCATAGGTG